GCTCTTGGACGGTTGGGAGAAGTTGCTCTCGGAGGACATTCTGGTACCATTCTTTATTCATGGCTGTGTTTTTAGACAAGACTGTGAGAGAGCCGACTCCCTTGGCTGAGAAGCCCCCCACACATGAATGGTTTCAGGATGCTTTACAGTTGGCATGAGACAAGACTGGTGGTAGTGCTCACCTCGTCTTCTCCGAACAAGCTGTTTTCCAGATGTCCCAAACAATCGGAAAGGGGATTCATCAGAGAAATGACTTTACCCCAGTCCTCAGCAGTCCACTCCCTGTACCTTTTGCAGAATATCAGTCTGTCCCTGATGTTTTTCCTGGAGAGAAGTGGCTTCTTTGCTGCCCTCCTTGAGACCAGGCCTTGCTCCAAGAGTCTCCGCCTCACAGTGCGTGCAGATGCACTCACACCTGCCTGCTGCCATTCCTGAGCAAGCTCTGCACTGCTGGTGGCCCGATCCCGCAACACTTAAGAGACGGTCCTGGCGCTTGCTGGTCTTTCTTGCGTGGCCTGGAGCCTTTTTGGCAACAATGGAACTTCTCTCCTTGAAGTTCATTTTCTAGGCAAATACTGACTTTGCAATTAATTGCTGTTAAGCTGATCACTCTTTATAACATTCTGGAGTATATGCAAATTGCCATTATAAAAACTGAAACAGTAGACTTTGTAAAATTTAACATTTGAATCATTCTCAAAACTTTTGGCCATGACTGTAGATGGTTTATAAAGAGTTTATATATTATTAGGTTATTAATTCATCTGTAAATTTTAATTTATAAAGATAAATTATTAATAAGTGTTTTTATGCATTAATTAAGGTAAAAAAAGAGACTAAACTGCCGTTTTTTCCCCAAATTAAACATTTCAGACTACTTTACTACCTTGTAAGCACATTAATGATTAGGAAACACATATTTAAACATATAATATTGTACCGTATTACTGCATTATAAATATCCACAAATATTAAAGGGATCCTTATGTAAAGTGTAAAACTGTACACTGTTTTGGATGGGGTGGGATTATTTGGTGTGTTAACATGAATTTTTTACTTGTTTGATACATCATTTTGATACATCATCATTGTTGACAGTAGTTACATGTTTGAACAATAATTTCAAATATTGACAATCAACACAAAGTTTTAAAAATTATGTTTTTTCAAGTTTTGGCATTTATAAATGTTTGTCATTAAAAATTGTGTACAGTATTACACTTTACGATAAGTCTCCCTTTCACAGTTGTGAGTATTTATAACGCAGTAATACAGTACAATATTAATATGTTAAAATATGTGTTTCTTATCGTTATTGTACTTACAATGTAGTAACATAGGCTGAAATGTTTAATAAGCACTTTTAGATGTAATATGTACGTGAACAGATTTGTCTCATTATTTGGTAAGAAGCTGGACAGTTTTGTCTCTTTCTCATCCTTAATTATTGCATAATAAATATTTATTAAAGATTTATAAAGTGTTTACAGATAAATTAACCTATTTATAAACTCTTTATAAGCCATCTATAAGGGGAGCCTTACAGTAAAGTGGTACCGATATTTTTTTAATGAGAGCTAAATGTCCTAACCGTCTCATGTTGCTGGTTGTCTGAAGGACTACAGCAGAGGTTCCCAAACTTTTTATCTTCTGACCCACAAAATATTCATGGCAAAAACTTGTGACCCCAAATATTACTGGTCTGAGTACATGAACTTCGGTTTTTTGACAACCTAAACAGCTTGTACACAAATATAAATACTTATTTTTACTTATTTTGTGTTTTTGTAATAATTATAGGAAAATATTACATCAGCAATTATTTTATTACCCTTTAAATTGATTTCTGGAGATTATCCAAGGTGCTTCATGACCCATAATTGGGT